AGTCTCCTGCCTCAGCCTCCCAAGTAGCTGGGACTACAGGCACCCGCCACAACGCCTGGCCATTTTTTGGTTGCAGCCATCACTGTTGTTTGGCGGGCCCGGGCTGGGGATTCGAACCTGCCACCTTAGGTGTACGTGGCTGGCGCCTTAGCCGCTTGAGCCACAGGCGCCGAGCCAGGCTAGAGTGTTTTGATGTCAGCCTTGCTTACAGCACTTCAAACGCCCATGTTTGAGCAATCCTCCTGCCTCAGCCTCTCAATAACTGGGCCTACAGGTGCTGGCCACCAGGCCTGGCTAATTTTTCTATTTTGAGTAGAGATAGGACTCACTCTTGGTAAGGCTTGTTTCATACTCCTGAGCTCAAGGAATCCTCTCCCCTTGGCCTCCCAGTGCTAGGATCAGGACTGAGCCACTCTGCCCAATCCTTACAACAGAAAATTGTAGTTGGAGGCAGCCGGACTATGGTGCAAGTGGGCTCAGCAAAATGAGGAAACAAAGAAATGACTTGCTTCCTGATTATTAATAATTATGAGACGACTGAAGGCCAAAGGCTACTTTTTCTAAAGTGGTATGATTCTGTTAAAGCTCAAAAATAAACACATTGAACCCGCTGTGCCAAGCTTTGGTCAGGTGGAAATGGGGAGGAGGAAAGAAAAATGAAAAGGAAGAAAAAGGAGAAACTATGAGGGGCTGAAGAGCCGCCATGACTTAGGCCTTTGGGGTTATGCTGACATCTAGTGGTGTTGGGTAGGAACAGCATGAGGAAGACCCAGGCAAATTTTTAATCTCGTGGTAGAGGTCAGGCCACGTTCTATTCCACATGTGTTCCTCCTACACACACTCCTGGAGAAGAAGGATTACTGTATGCCTGAAGCTAAGAAGTCTCCAGTATGGGTGGGTGATGAGGCTTGCAAACAAGCTCTTGTACTTGGGGTTTTGCGCCCACATTGGTGCACCCCCACAGCTACTCTGAAGCATGAGATGTTGTCACCCTGGGCTGTCACTTCAGACTGAATGCATCCGAAGGGTTCACGGGAAAGAAGACTTGGGGAAGAAGGGGAGAGGGAGCATGTGACGCTGCTGGGTATTTGTGGGGATGCTCCCACGTTGTTACAACAATAAACCCATTAATTTAGATGAAGGAACTCACAATGTTGGTAGATTGGGAACTGGGAATCTTTAAAATCATAAAAGGGACAGAAAGCACAAATCCAATCCATGGTCATCATTAAAAATAATTTGGGCTGACCATGGTGACACACACCTGTAATCCCAACTACTCCTGATTGGAGAAGGAGGATTGGCTCAGCCCAGGAGTTTGAGTCCAGCCTGTACCCCCCGACCCCCAAAATCTCTAAAGAAAAATTTTAGAAGTGTTTTGAAACAAACTAATGATGAATTTATTAAATGTAATCCAACATTTCAAATACAAATGAAACTGCATTGGTTCTACAGTCTCCAACTATCGAAACAATCTACCCAGAATGGCTGTCACCTGCCCCTAACTCTCAGGCAGTTCCAAGAGGTTTTATTCTAGCAAAGACCCACTGGGATTACTAAAAGGCATACAATGTCAATAAAAGTATAATCACTGTCCATTGCATGGATGTCTAGTGATTAGCATCTATTTCTTTTCTACCTCAAAGCAGTTTGAACATAGACAATAAGAAAATGCAAAAGGCAGATGCAAAAAACTTTAAGACAATTGTCTTGAAGCATCAGGTTGGATAATGGTAAGTTTTTCAGTCCAGGACAGAGTAAATAAGACAGATTGATTATGCTCTTACCTCTGTCTGTACCATAGACATCCGGTAGGACCGCATTTCTGACACCAGCCCTAAGATGTCAACAAACTCATGATCCCGGATGTGCTGCAGGAGTCTGTCCAGGGCAATGAATGTCCCCGTCCGTCCCACGCCAGCACTGCAAAAAAAATGTTCAGACATCACATTACTCAGGGCTATGTCACTGTAAGAAATAAATTGAGGAGTTCTAAATATGGATAGACAGCACAATTGTGAAAAAAGAGACTAAACTCCTGGCAATATTTTCCACTTAACTCTTGTTGAAGTGTGCTGTTGTGCTTGGTGTTTCTTCTAATGTGATTTCTGACTCACTGCTATCTTCCTGAGATATGGGTCTGCACTGCCTTGGCCACACCATTTTCTGGGCTCTTTGCTTCTGGAGAAAGGTAACCATGCCAACTGAGTACCTTTGCCCTCAGAGAGCTGATGCAATAAACAATGCCCCATCTTTTAACAGCCTCAGAGTGAAGCCCTCTCACCCATGTCAAAAGTCTAGGGAGAAGCCCACACTCCATCTCCAGCTTTGGGCCGTAGTGGTTTGTGTACCTTCAACACCAAGGTCAGGTCACTATCCTATTCCTTCCTCACAGCACATCTGCTCTTCAGCGGGTTCTGCTTCAGCCCCCCAGGATGTTGGAGATAGTTGCCTTAAAGTCAAGTTCAATATTCAGACCCAGTCTCCACCAACCTCCCAATCCCAGAGCTCAGAGCACAGGTGGAGGTGGACTGACAAGGGCTAGCCTCCACTCAACACAGCCCCTAATTTGCCAGCTAGGGATTGCCAGCTCTTACTTTCTTCCAGTCATCCAGACAGAGAAGAGCCAATGGCTCTAATCTCTAATTTATGATGAAATTATGGGAAAGAGAACAATGAAGCCAATTTACATGCAGAATTTGTTAGAAAAACCCAGCACTGAAAACCTTGAGTTCAGAGCCTGATTTGTTTTATTTTGCTGGACCACTATTGCCTGCCAGGATTTCTCAGGCAAAGGAATCTGCCACTAGGTGAGCACCTGCAAAGTCATATCCAGAAGTATAGCTCTTGTTTGCCCTGAAAAGTGTCCATGAGTTTGACCTCAAGCTTCACAATATAAAGAAGTATTTTGAGAATGGATAATTCCATCTGCTAACGCACAGCTTTCAACCTGTGAATGCCTAAGGTGGACTGACAGCAGTAATATCCTCCCTAAGGGAAACCTAGTAGCTTAGGAAGCATTTTTCTTTTCAGGGAGATACGCATATTTCCCCCCCCACACACACACGAACACACACACACGGACTCACATACATGTGCCATCACACACCACAGTCATCTAATTCATACAGGTCCCGGTGCTAGAGCTGGGATCACAGCCCAGGTTGGCGTGGCTGCCGCTGCTGCCCTTAACATCTTCATTCTACTTCTGCTTCTGATGTAAAATCAGAGCATATTTATATTCCTTACTCTTTTAAGGTTGCTTAAAAATTTTACAACAATATTGTATCACAGAGATGGACTCTGATGGAGCTTCGGTCACGTGATAGAAAAGATTAAAGATAACGCTTCCTTCAAGGAATTTGTGTGGACCTTGATTTTTTTGTAACGGGATGGATCATCTCTCCTCTCCATTCTAGCAGTCTCAAAAGTTAGAGACAGTCCTGAAGATCACTCATAGGAAATGCTAATCTTAATAAGCTGACTATTTTAAATTTTTCTTTCCCTTGTCTTGCTTTTATGTCTATTATATGGTTTTAGGCTGTGACCAGCTGTTTGTAATTTGGGTTTGTGTTTGTTCTTGGTATAACCACACAGGACCTTGGTGGAGTAGGAAAATCTCACAGAGTACTTAAGGGGCTGTGGCCTTTGGAGATTGGCATGCCTGAATTTGTTTTGTTTTGTTTTTGAGACAGAGTTTTACTATTTCACCCTTTGTAGAATGCCATGGCGTTCCGGCTCATAGCAATCTCAAACTGTTGGGCTTAAGTGATTCTCTTGCCTCAGCCTCCCAAGCAGCTGGGACTACGGGCACCCACCACAATGCCTGGCTATTTTTTTTTTGTTGTTGTTGCTGTTGTCATTGTTGTTTAGCTGACCTGGGTAAGGTTTGAACCCGCCAACTTCCGTGTATGTGGCTGGCGCTGTAACCACTGTGCTACGGGCGCCAAGCTGGCATGCCTGAATTTGAATACTAACTCCTCTAAGTTCTAGTTGCATGAACTTTCTTCAGTTGGGAAGAAAAGTATCTATCTCATAGGCTATCATAGGCTATAGATATAAAATAGCCATGTTATAAGTAAATGCTGTATATAGTGAGAGTTCAATTAATCACAAATCTAAAAAATCATAATTCATTTAATTGTCCATTAAATTGATCAGGGGTTTGTGGAATGGTGGGCTATTTCCTTTATACACGAAACTCATGATGTTTAACAGAAAATGCATTTCAAGGGGTCACCTGCAGTGGATGACCATGGGGCCCTTGCTCTTGGTAGCTTGCTGTCGGACCATGTGCACGAACTGCAGGATGCTCTCTGCAGCGTTCGCCGTGGGCACACCGTGATCAGGCCAGGCCGTGTAGTTAAAATGCATCACGTCCTGCGTTTCATCAGCCTTTAGGGAATAAAAGACAAAAACAATGTTAAGCATTAATCTCCCAGCCCACAGACTGGATGGACCAGGTCTCCATTGATGATCACAAGTTAGTGGCGCAGGAAGGTAGAGCCACATTCCACTCCCCGGCAGGGCGCTTCCCTACCCAGCTCCTAGCTCTGCGTCTGGCGCAAAGGCAGTGCAGAAAAAAAAACTAATTGTATAAAGCTTCAAATATCTGGGCTTGTATAGTTAAGGAAAACCTAAGAGGTTGTGCTCTCCTGCTGAGGCCAGCCGATGGCTAATGAGTGACTGAGACCTGGGTAACAGAAATCCAGCCCCTTCTGTCAGATCAGGGCAACGCTGTGATGGTGCGGTTCACTAATCTCACACGGCTAAAGTGATGGAGCAGAAGTGAGATTTCAGCCGAACCCACAGAACTGTGGGGCTTCTTCCCTGCCACATTCTGCTTCCCTTGCTCACCTATAGGTGCTACCGAGCAACACACTTTCAAAGAAATCATTTATATGAGGATCCCTGTCTTGAGCTTTGATACCAGGGACCTAACTCACAGAGCTTCAATCTTCTCGTATCTAAAAATGCCCTATTGGTACCTATACCAAGGGCGGTTGTGCAGATTAAGTATGATTGTGTTGCCGAAGGGATGGTGTGTGTTATATATTAGTATCATTACTGTACTACTCGGTTCGTTACGAACAGAAAACTATATTCATTAGCACACACAGCCCAGTGTTCTTTAGGCAATTTAGACAAAGCAGCTTAACATTTAGATTCTGGATGCTTCTGGTCAAAAGGGGGCGCTATGGAACCAGATGCTTGTTACTGTATCAGTGTTTATACAAGCAGACACGGTTGTTCAGTGTTTTATTCTCATTTTCCCCCCTTCACATGGTTGTCATTGAAAGATAGGTCATCATTTAAGACCAAGGACAAGAAGGATAGTACTGACCATATAATAATCGATGTGATTCTTCCTTGTCGAGGGAATAGGCATGGGACAGACCCTATTTTATGCTTTGCAATTTTTTCCTCTTAGATAAAATCCTAGGGACAAGATTTTTTTTTATATTTGTCTAGTAATTTTACCAGCTTTATAACTGAAATAGCCAAGACAAAAGCAGAGTTCAAATGGCATTTTGATTATCAAATATGTTTTTTGATGGAAAGTCTGTTGATGATTTTAAAATGCTTTATTAATTTGTTTGGCTTTATTATTTTTGAAATAATTCATTTATTCGCTGATTTATTCATTCTACAAAGATAAAATATTTGCTTCTGAAATTCACCGTTTACTGTTGGAGGCAAACAAGAGGAGGGAGCATTGAAACCATCTATAATGTGCTAGGATAGCACAGCCTATGAGAGACTCTACCCTAGAGGAGAAGAGAGTGAGTGGTCTCGGAGTCCATGGGAGGCTCCACAAAGGAGGCAACTCTTGGGCTGAAACTCGAGTGGGAATGTGCTTGGGAACAAGGAGAATATGAGCATTTCAAAAAAATGTAATAGCATGACACGTAAAAACAGAGTGGCACAGGCATCCTGGGATTTTTCAACTAAATTCTCCTTGCTAGAAAAGTCGCTGTTAACTACTAGTGGTTAAGAAGTGATTTGTTTCTTGGAAATATCAATGAGTGGATAGTTGTTGAATTCTTAGGTCATATGGATGTGGTCAGTCTTTGTTCCCATTGTCTATATTAAGGGTCAATAAACTTTTCCTATAAGAGCCAGATAGTAATATGTTACTTATTTATGTATTTTAGACACAAAGTCATACTCCTTCATCTAGGCTGGAGTGCAGTGGTGGAATCATCCCAGGCCACACAATTAAGTTCACGAACTCATCCTAGAGAAAGTACTACATACCTCACTGCTGAATATGACCAGAATCTCCTTTGAGATACTCCCCTTTGGGAAGCTATGCACTGATGCCAGTGCCTAGATCATCCTTCAAAACAGTTTTGGAACTCTTTTTCTGGAACGGCCATCAGAGCTGTCATCATACAATGTCTGACAAGTTCATGAAACCATCCTAGAAAAAGTGCTGCATACCTCATTGCTGAATGTCACTACGGTCACCAGATGGCCAGGGCAGTACTTCAAAGGTGCTTCAAATAATGAAAACCAGCCAGACAAAATCCAAACTTCTAAATCATGGTTTAAGTGTTTACTTTAAAACATAGCCAGGCACTCATGCCTGTAGTCCTAGCAACTCTGGAGACTGAGGTGGAAGGAAGGACTGCTTGTGCCCAGGAGTTCAAGGCTGCAGTGAGCTATGAGTGTGCCACATCACTCCAGCCTGGGTGACAGAGTGAAACCCCTGTCTTTAAAAAAAAATAATAGGCTCGGCGCCTGTGGCTCAAGTGGCTAAGGC